TTCCCCAATCCCTTATTCCACTGCGTGCTCCTCCGTATCCGGGATCAGGGCAACTCGCCTGGACATCGTTTCTGCATGAGCTCGTGGAGTTACGCGAAGCGCCTAGACTAAGATCTTGGCATCTGCGGGCCTAGGGGGTCGGCGGCGTGGCGCAAGCTAGTGAAACATATGTCCAAGAATTCTCGCCGACACCACAGGCAGTGGAAGGCAAGAAACTGAAGCACGCGGGCATCATGACAGACCCTCCGCACAAATCTTTCCGTCTTGCTCTGTCTGACCTGGCCAGTACCATCTTCTGAAGTAGCCTCACGGGGCGAGAACTCGGAGAGGGTCGATCCTAGCCTGGGTTAAGTTTCGGCCGAACCTCTCCATGAATGACCCCCGAGCTGTGACCCGCGCGTGGCTGGCGAACTCCCAGTCGTGGAAGTCAGGCCCTGCTTGCGAGCACTGTATGGCCTGCCCATCGTCACCGAGCGCGAGAACCAGCTAAGCCCAAAAGGGAGAGGCGGTTAGGCCCTCCTCGCTCCCGCCATCTGTGTTCACCAGCGGTGCTAGGTGCCCATCGGCGCCTCCAGGCCACTTTCTCTGGCGCTTGCCGAGGAGAAGTGCAAATCTCCCAGGCCAGAGAACGACCTCTGGCCCCTCCTCCTGCTCGGGCGCGGCCATATCTGCGAACGCACGGACCAATGTAATGCATCCGTGGACCTCTTGATCTTTGCCGCATGAGGAACGAAATCCAAGTGAACAGGGCACGCCGAAGTTGAATTGAACCCCAACTCCGCGGGAACAGCCCCCCTCGGCGCATCAATCTTTGACTGGGGAGGGAAGCCTGTTGGTTGGCGGGGGGGCAGGCGGTAAGCAGCAAACATGGGACGGGGGAGCTCGGCGTCGGTCCCAGACATCCTCCAATACAATCGGACCCAGGACTGAAGAACATCCCACAAGAACACGAGGCCATCCGCCGGCCAAAACAACCCAAACCATACGATCACTCGAGAATCTCATCCCCCAGGATGCCCCCAAAACATCCCACAAACGTTTTTTTTTTTTTTTTTGCGTCGGCGGCTAGGCAGAGTAACTGCGCTGGCGGAGAGCTAACTAAACGGGGGTGCCGCTGCAGCGAAGTGCGCCACCATGCAGGAGAAGGGGGCAGGGCAGCGGAAGCGGCCGAAGGAGGGGGCGGGAAGGGAGCGAGGCCTTTCAGGGGGACGGGTCACGCCCTGAGCGCGTGGAACATCGCACAAACACGAAGAACAATAGGTTACCCTCCACGAGCCGACCTCGATCTTGCACCTCGGTCCGGCTGTCTGATTTTTTGTTCAATCCGCGACCCCCCAGCAGCTCCCGACTCCTGCCCCTGGGGGTAGTGCCTCGCCCCGTGGATCCCACGCTGGTGGCCCCGAGGCCCGACAGACGGGCCCCAGAGGTCGAGATCGAGGGACGCGGCCCAGATCGAACAAATCTTATCGTCGCTGGCGGCCCGCTCAAGCCGCCGCGTTAGGCCGCTATGCAATCTCGCGTAGGGCCCGCTCTTGATCGTGGAAAAAAACGCAGCGTGCCGCGCTCGCGTCCCGCGTAAGCTGTGGCGTAAGGCCGCTGTGCCATCTCGCGTGAGGCCCGCTTTTGAGAGCCGCTCGTGTGGTCGCCCAGCTTCCCCGAGCTGTTTCGGGGCCCCTGCCGTCGAGGCGGAGCCCAGAGATCCGGGGTTCCCAGTCCCAGCTCTCATTGGCCATGCCGCGGAGAACCCACGAGCTGGCCTGGCAGGGCCGTCCTGCCGCACCGCCCGAGCGGCAACGGCCAGGCCGCCCGGCGCAGCGAGAGAGGGTCGGGGGGACGATCAGCACCGCCATCGGCTCGCGAGGCTCTGGCCGGAGACTCCGGACCCTCTGGCGCCAACCTGAGCGGACAAGAACGCAGAGCGCCGCGTTTGTCCGTTAGGCTCGAACGTAAACCAACAAAAAGAAGTGGGCGACGACAAGGCGGCCGATGACGAGGATGACGGCGTGGATGACGGGGAGAGTAGCGAAACTCTGGCCGGAGAGTCTGGACCTTCTGGCGCCAATCCGCCGGTGCCCGTGGTGCCGTACAGTCACCAGGCATTCGAATGCAACTGTCGACCTCTTGACTTGTGCCCTGGCAAATGTTGAGCTTGTCTGGACGAGGCGTACCGAAAGTAAACTGAAGCCCAACTCCACAAGAACGGCCCCTCGGTGTACCAGCTTTTGACGACAAGAGGGGGGGGAAGCCTGTGCTGGGTGCGGGCGGCAAGCAATAAAACGCAAACTAGAAAACGGACAACGGAAAACGGAAACCGGAAAACGGAAAACGGAACCCGGAAACCGGAAAGCGAAAAATGGAAACTGGAAAACGGAAAACGGAAAACGGAACTTCGCTTTTTTGCCCAAGCCGGGAGACGGAAAACGGAAAGCGGAAAACGGAAACTGGAAAGCGGAAACCGGAAACCAGAAAACGGAAACCGGAAAACGGAATTTGGTTTTCTGCCAAAACCGGAAAACAAAAACCAGAAACCGGAAAACGGAAACCGGAAAACGGAAAACCGGAAACCGGAAACCGGAAAACGGAAACCGGAAAACGGAAAACGGAACTTCGCTTTCTGCCCAAACCGGAAAACGGAAAACGGAAACCGGAAACCGGAAAACGGAAAACAGAAACCAGAAACCGGAAAACGGAAAACGGAAACCCGAAAAAGGAAAACGGAAAACGCAACTTCGCTTTCTGCCCAGACCGGAAACCGGAAAACGGAAACCATGGAACGGAAACCGGAAAACGGAAACCGGAAAACGGAAAACGGAAAACGGATTTTCGTTTTCTGATCCAGGGTTCTGTTTTCCGTTTCCGTTCCGGTCCGGCGCGCCTGCTGACCGGAATCATCTGCGGTGGTGTTCTGACTACTACTACTACTACTACTACTACTACTACTACTACTACTACTACTACTACTACTACTACTACTACTACTATTACTACTACTACTACTACTACTACTACTACTTATACTTATACTTCTACTTCTACTTCTACTTCTTCTTCTTCTTCTACTACTACTACTACTACTACTACTACTACTACTACTACTAGGGGCCATTTTGCATATTTTAGGATCGATGCAGTTCGGTGCGGTTTTGTTTACAGTTCGGTGCCCGCCTGCGCATCTTAACATAGTGCTCGTGCGCAAACCAAACTGAGACCAAGTCCAACTTTGGCACGTATGTTGGCTTCCAAAACCTCTGCGTTGACATAAGAGGTGTCACTTGGTCCTCACAACCGTCTTGGGCTTCTCTACACTGAAAACCTTATTGTGAGGCTATCCCAAGCAGGTTGGGATTGGGCCCAGTTTGCTTTTCGCACTGGTTGGGATTGGTCCCAATTTGTTGGGATTGGGCCCAGTGGGTTGGGATTCGGCCCACATGCTCCCCCCCCCCTTCGGAAAACCGGAGGGGTCACTACCGGTTCGAAACCCCCCCGCCTCGCCGCCGGCAAACGATTCCCGCTCCTCGGGACAGTGGGGCAGCGGAAAACCAGGGGGGGGTCCCTACCGGTTCGAGCCCCCCCCCCTCCAGAAAACAGGGGGGAATCACTACCAGTTCGAACCCCCCCCCCCCAAGAAAACCAGGGGGGGTCACTGCCAGTTCGACCCCCCCCCTTCACCGCCAGCAAACGACTCCCGAACCCCAACCACAGGTCCGCACCACATCCCCCACCGCTGTCCCCAGCACCACCGTCCGCACCACCTCTGTCCCCACTGTTCCCACTACCGTCCCCACTGTCCCCACCAGTGCCCCCACCACTGTCGCACTGTCGCCACTGTCCCCACCGCTGTTCCCACCACGGTCCCACTCTCCCTACTTTCCCCACGGTCCCCACCACTGTCCCACTGTCCCCTCTGTCCCACTGTCCCCGCGGCTGTCCCACTGAGCTGCCCCACTGTTCTCACCACTGTCCCCACCACTGTCCCCACTGAACCCCTGTCCCACCACTGTCCGAACCACAGCCCTCACCACTGTCCCCACCACCACCGTCCCCACCACTGTCCCACTGTGCCCACTGTCCTCACCACTGTCTCAGTCCCCACGCCACTGTCCCTACCACCACCGTCCCCACCACTGTCCGACTGTCCCCACCACTGTCCCACTGTCCCCACCACTGCCCCAGTGTCCCCACTGTTCCCACCAGTGTCCCCGCTGTCCCCACCAGTGCCCCCACCAGTGTCTCACTGTCTCCACTGTCCCCACCATTGTCCCACCACGGTCCCACTCTCCCCATTGTCCCCATTGTGCCCACCACTGTCCCACTGCCCCCATTGTTCCCACCTCTTTCCCACTGTCCCCACTGTCCCCGCCGCTGTCCCACTGTGCTGTCCCACTGTTCCCAGTGTCCCCGACACTGTCCCGCTGTCTCCAATGTCCCCACCACTCTCCCCACTGTACCACTGTCCCACCACCGTCCTCACCACCGCCTTCACCACTGTCCCCACCACTACTGTCTCCACCAGTCCCACTGTCCCCACCACTGCCCCGCTGTCCCCACACCACTGTCCCCACCACCACCGTCCCCGCTACTGTCCCACTGTCCCCGCCACTGTCCCAGTCCCCAGACCACTGTCCCCACCACCACCGTCTCCACCACTGCTCTACTGTCCCCACCACTGTCCCCCTGTCCCGAGGAGCGAGAATCGTTTGCCGGCGGCGAGGGAGGGGGAGGTTCGAAGCGGTAGAGACCCCCCCCACTTTTGATAGACTGGGGGGGGGGAAGGGGGGGGTTCGAACCGGTAGTGACCCCCCCTGTTTTCGAGGCGGGGGGGGCGGGGGGGACGGGTTGGGACCCCCCAGTGACCCCCCCCGGTTTTCCACCATCACCACCATCACCATCGCCACCATCACCATCATCGTCCTCGCCATCTGGCCTCGTCACCACGAGCTCGCGTTCCGCGCCCGCGGCCACGTCGCCCCTCCGACCCCTCCGCCCCCCCGGGGGCCCGCCTGGAGAGACTCCGCCGTGCGGGTCCGCTCGCCCTCCGCCACCGCACGGGCGTGGCCCTCGGTCACCTCCGACCCGCCCCCACAGAGAACGGGATGGACAGGGGTGCATCGAGGAGGGAGGACTCTGACCTTTGACCCGCCGTACTTTGGTTCCTTCTCCGACCTGAAACTGTGTCGGAACTGCACCCCGAACGATGCGAACAGGTGCGGCGGAAATGTCCGCCTCAGAACATCAGGGCGGAGACATTCCCGCAACACTACGGCGGAAACAGCGACGGTAAGTAGGGCGGATATCGACATCAAAGGAGCTTGAAAAATAGGGCGAACATTACCCCCTACTCACAACATCGCCCCAGAGCTGCGGCGAATCCGGAGTCGGGGGAGCCCGAGAGGAGGGAAGGAGGGAGGGAGGGAGGGAGGGAGGGGAGGGAGGGAGGGACGCGTGTGTGCGACGAGGGGCCTGGCGCGATGCGCGCTCCAACTGAATGGATCCGCATGGTTCCCAGGAGCCGAATCGTCACACAGAAAATACATAAGAAGAAGAGTCGGGAAGGGGGGCGCAGGGCACGAAGAGCCCGGAAGGAGAACGAACGGAGGCGACTCTCGACGAGGGAGCCTGATACGGACGTAATCACACAATGCGGCCGCGCTCTTGACAGAGTCGGGGGAACAAAAAACTCGAGCGCGCCAGAAGTCGGGTTTGCCGACGCTTTTTGACGGGCCCGTCCTGGATTTTGACGGCCCTATTGCCTTGGTACGTTTGCTGCGGGGGCGCGCGTCAAATTTCAGACTAGACTTCGTCGCTTTCTTGACGGCCCCGTCAGGCCAACCCGAATCCCCCGAGCACGAGTCCCACGTCTCCACGACTGAAAGGCTAGAGCACGCAGGTGGGAGCCAAACGCCCAAGCCAGCTTCGCCCCAAGGGGGGCTCAAGACTACTTAGTAAACAGGAGGCGAGGGAGGCGGTAGGGAGGGATGCGTCGCCGGTGCTGTTATCTGGGTGATTCGTACACCTCAGCTGGCCAGTTTGTGGATCAGGCATGGGACTCCGAAGTCAAATAGCGCTGACCTCCTTGGCACTAGCAAGGGAAGCTAGTTGGGTGAACCTGCTGTTTGCCACTAAGGCTAAGTCGGCTGCTAGTTCTTTGGTACCCGTGACCTGATGTTTGCTATTGGCACTGTGCCTTCGTCAACGTTGCTCTCAGTCACGGTTGGTGCACGTTGTGGTGCATGCCTAGGTGGTGAGCGAGGTGCTTGAAGCCGATCGCTGGGACTCGACGTTATTGTGACCTTCCCCTGCATTGCCAGCGGTTGCACTTCAACAAATTGTTGGAATGCTTCGTATTGTTCGGCTGTCTCGTTGCCGTGGTGTCACGAATTGCGGAGTGTCGCCCATCGGCAGTGAGTGTGTAGTCGCCGCTCCTCTGCGTTTTGGTGTCTGTGGCTATGGTACGCTGGTTGAATATATCTCTGCTGGTGTGATTGAGGGTGTTTGCTGTTGTGGCGCTCTGGGTGAGTAGTGCTCTGGCGGTGTGATTGGTGGCTCTGGTGGATAGGTCGACGTGTAGTGGTGAAGCTGGCTGTAATGGTGGATTTGGCGTGTCAGGAAAGTGCTGTATTGGAATGCGCGTGCTACAGTAGTGTGCGTGTGTGCCGTCGTGACGTCGTCATGCTTTTCGTAGATGTCGTCGGGCCCGTCGTCTGATAACGTCGAGCTCGTCTTGTAAGCGATTGGTTTCGTCGTGCGATTGTGCATGATGTAACTATTGACGTTGTAGCTCTTCTTCTTCTTCAATACGTCTTTCGTACTCGATCTCGCGGCCAATGCGCATCGCTTCCCCGATGTCGCGGTGGAGAACTGGCACTGGCTGGTCATGTCCCAAACGAAGGTCGCGTTGCTTGCGCTCGTAGTCGTCCTGTGCTTGACGCAGTAGCGTAGTGAGTTCAGCTTCTCTTTCCTTATGCAATTTTTCAGACTGTTCTTGTGCTGCCATGTCTTTGCGTAGTGTCGTCTGTTGGTGCTGCACATATGCTTCGGTGCCTTGCTGGCGTTGTTCTGCAATGATAAGTCGCTGTTGGTGGCGCTGGCTTGCGACCTTAAGCTGCTCTGTCGCGCTTGTCATTATAAGATGTGCTGCTTCTTGGTCATTGTTTCTGTCTAGTGAATTGCTTTCGGCTTGTGGAGTCGTTGCGCCGTTTGTGGTCCTTCCCGTGCTGCGGCAACGTCATGGTTAAATGCAGCTTGTGTTTGTGTTCGCTGTGCTACGTATGTTGCGCACTGCTCTGCGTAGCTCTGGTGTTGTTGTGTGAACCATCTGGATTGTTGGGTGTCTTGTGGTTGGCCTTGCTCGAGTGAGTGTGTCTTCTGCTTTGCCATCAGCATGTATAGTCCGCTTATTTCTGCGATCTCGTCTTGATGAGGTTTGCAGTGCTGGTGAAGTTGTCGAGCTAAGTTCTGCGCGCTCTTCTGTTGTTTGTTCAGCTGTCAGTAAATCATTTGCGTTGCTGCTGCTGGCTGTGAGTCGTTGGTATTGTCATAGAACTTGTTGTCTCTCGAGCATCTTGTCGTAACTCTGCAATGGTGGCCCCTGACCCGCTGTGTAATTCGTGGTGCTCGCGGCGTGTCGTGGCGCATTGGCCGTTATGTGCTTGTAGGTACTTGATCTGCGTGTGGTAGTGGAGTGCCTGTTCTGTGAGGCTCTCCAGATGCTGGTGTCTTTGCTCGTTCTGTTTTGTCATGGTCTCGGCATCTCGTCGTGTTTCTTCGTTGTCTTGTCGTAATGCCGCTGCTTTGCCAGCTCGCATGCGTAGTTCGGTGTGTCGTACTTGGCTGTGCTCCCTTGCCTCGCGGCAATCGTTGGACAGGTGGTCGCTTGCTGCTTGTAATTGTCGCATGGCATCTTCTGTTGACTGTAGTTGTTGTGTTCTGGCCTCCTTGCCCGTGTTTTGTTGAGCTGCTCTTACTTCTGATGTGACCCAGCCAGGTGCTTGAAGTTGGTCGCGCGCTGCCTTGACTAATGGTTTGAACTTCTGTGTCTCGTCGCAGGTGTCGGTGTTAGGTGTGGTTGCGTTAAGTGGTACTAGTGGTGGTCGCTATTGGGGGTAGGTGTTGAATTGCACGTCGTGTGCTTGTTGTGCATGTGATTGTCGGCTGGGTGCGTGCTGCCTGTTGTTGTTGAGCTCCTTCTCCAGATTGGCGTACGTCTTGGTCTTGTGAATGTCGTCCCCGTGCTTCTGCTGAGCTTGCTTCAAGGTTGCTGCCGATACCTTCTGTGCAAGCTGTGTAGTCATCTTTGAGCTTACGGAAAAACTGCAGTCTTGCATCTTCTGGTTTTTGGCCCAGCAGCTGTCTCTGTATGACTGCCAGTTCATGTCGTAGTTGTCATGATGTTTGTCCTGCACTCTCCACTGCCAGAGTCTGTGTTGCGAGCGTCCTAAGTTCTGCTGTCTTTGACGTGTTCCATGCCCCCACTTCGAGTGGTGTAGCTCCAAGCGTGTCTTGTGTAAGACGTCGTTGCTGTAAGGATCTGGCATGCTGCCGACCCGTGTCTGGTTCTCTCATGTGGTGCATGCTGTGTGCTCTAGGTTGCTGCCGAAGCTAGGTTGCGGTATGTAGTCGTTGCTCGTTGTTGGTGTGGCTGGTGGTTGTTTTGGTTCGGGGGTTGGAGTGACCTTCCTCTGCTTCCTTGGCATGTGAGGCTGCGGTGCCCGGTATGGTGTGGTCGTCGCTGTTTGATGGTCAGTGTCACCTTTTTGCTGCTGGTGTTGCGGCTGTGTTGCGTAGGCCGGATCATGTTGAACTGGTTGCGCGCATCCGTTGTGCCCGACAGGCTGCAAGAATGGAACTTTACTTTGCCTTTGCTGTGCTGTTGTCCCTGCTGGTGTTTCCCATTGCCTTCGCCTTTGTCATGGGGAGCTTGCGTGTCGCTGTTCATTGTGTCGGCTGGTTGTCGTGGTGGTTGCTGTCCGCTATGGTATTGTTTGAATAGTAGCTGTGCTGCTTGGAGCTGCTGGTGTGTAGGTTGGTCAAGTAGGGTTCGCGCTGAGGCTACCTGTAGAAGTGCGCGTGCTGCTGCACGTTTTTCCTTCTTCCTACGGTGCCAGGCAGGGTTAAGAGAAGTCGACGAAGTCGTGGCGCTATTGTTTGTAATATGCTGCAGTGTTGGTGGAGTCGTCTGGCCAAAATGGCCTTGCAAGTGGTGCTCGTGGTGGGCGTACGATGTAGATGTCGAAGTCGCGAGGTCGGAGAGTTGTCGAAGCCATGAGGTCGGAGACTCGCATCTACGGTGGTACCTGTGCCCAGAAAGTCCCCGAAACGAAATGTAAGAGGTATAGGATAGAGACGTCAAGGGATGTATGGTATGGGAAATACATGAGATATGAAGTATGTCGTGGCCGACCTGGCGTCGGTCTGCACACTGCTCTCGACTCGCCCCAACCTCTTGGGCGGTCAAAGGCACCTCCTCCTCCTCCTCCTCCTCCTCTTCTTCTTTTTCCTCCTCCTCTCCCTCTTCCTCCCCGCCCGTGGGGCCGTCGCAATTCGGCTACGCGCAAGAGTGACCCTGGGTAAGAGTGACTTTTGGTGCGCGGCTTTTGGGGGCGCGAGGTGGCCAAACCCAAGCGCGCAGGCCGCTGCTATCGCATCGCGCTCAGCGATCGGGGGGGGGCCGATGAGCCCGTACCAACGGTCACTCCGGCGAAGGGTCACTCTTACGTGTAGCCGAGCAGCTTCGGGTTCTGATCCTATTGCTGCGGCGCGGCTGGCCCTCCTGGCCCCGCGCGCTGCCTCCGTGCTGGCCGCGTGCAGCCTGGGGGCCCTCGGCCCTCTCCCTGTGGACGGCCCACCCTCGCGCCCTTCCTCCTCCTCCTCCTCCTCCTCCTCCTCCTCCTCCTCCTCCTCCTCCTCCTCCTCCTCCTCCTCCTCCTCCAACCTCCTCCTCCTCCTCCTCCAACCTCCTCCTCCAACCTCCTCCTCCTCCAACCTCCAACCTCCTCCTCCTCCATCCTCCTCCTCCTCCTTCCGTCCCTCACCCTATCCGTCCCCCCTCCCTCCCTCCCTCCTCCTCAT